ATGCTAAGGCACAGCACAGGAAACAGCAGCACATACACAATGGACGTCCAAGAGCCAAGCCCCCTGTGCCCTCAGCATCAGGCCATCTTCCTGAGCTTCAGCCCTTAACCCAAAAATACTAGCCATGGGGGTAAGAGGGGGGCGGGGGGAGATAACTTTTCAAGTTCTGGAGAGAGAATGTGTCCGTGCTGACCTCCTGCACTCAACCCTACATGCTGCACACTCGTGCTCACCACCAGGAGCACACGGTGACAGGCAGAGCTCAGGTCCAGAAGCATCCAAAAAGTTTAAGTGGCTGACAGCTTGAGAGTCCTGGTCCAAGCCAGGTGAGGAAGGGCAGGGCTTAAAGCGTGAGGAGATGTGGGAATAGATTCCAAGGCAGGTGGAAAAGTTCTAACCAGTAAAGTTTCCCTCAGCCTAATCCTCTCTCCAAAGAGATCCGAAATACAGTCAAGCTCTGGGAGAACACTGCTCTGGCTACAGGAACCCGCATTCCCCAGGCAGGGACTGCACCGAGGCAGGTCGAAAGCAAAACAGATGAGCCCCGCCCCCTCCCCCAACCCAGCTCTTTTCTCTCAACACAGGAGTAAACCGGAGCCCTTGCTGTCCAATGGCCTGCAAGCCCAGAAGACCAAGCTACAGTAATTCAATCCTTCAGTAGCCAACTACAAAACCACCAACTTCCAGAGGCCTTCTCGGACCCCACACCGAGTGCGGCGTTCCTTATCCAAACCCAGGGACTAAGAGGCTGCCCCAAGACCCCCGAATCATCTCAGGAGAGGCCTGCGGAGGCTCAGCTTACCCATCTCTACGATGGAGTCGCAAAGCCCGCTGACACGAGCACAGACAAGGCTCAGAGAGCTCGAAGAGGGGGCGCTTCCCGGGGACCTAGACTGGGGACCCGTGACAAGTGTCAAGGTGTTTAGTCGAGGACCATGGGAGGGGCGGGAGCGAGCTGGGCACACAGCTGCATGCACACCCCAAGACGGGCACTGTGGAAGAAACTAGGGCTTTAAGAGGGGTAGGAGTCCGGCTCGGCGTCCCCTCTGGAGTCTGTCCCCTCCAGGCCTCCGTACTCCATGAGCCCTGCACTCCGGCTCCCACTCCTCTGCAGAAACTTTCCGGGCCCCGTCGCCCCAGGACCTCAGCCCTCTTTCCCGAGCCCCGCCTGCCGCGGCCGCACCTGGTCCGAGTCTTCGTTCTCGCTGCTGTAGCAGCACCCCATGGCCGGGGTCGGGCCGGGCGCTCAGGCCAAGCCGAGGAGGGTCGGCGTCCGTCAGGAGCCCTTCCGGTCACATGACCCGGCTGCCGGGGGGGGGGGGGGGTGTCCGCCCCGTCTCATAGCGGCTGCCGGGAACCTGGCTTCCGGCCCCTCCTCGGCCACGTGATCACCACCCGCCAATGGGAGGGTGCAGTCTGCGGGAGGGGACGCGGGGCACGTGATGCGAAGGAGCAGGGGGCGTATCACGTGACTGAATCATTTCCCGAGTCTGTAAGCTCGAAACATTTGACTCTAATAGTCCTTGTGGAAGTTGTGCTGTGTGGCCCTTGGCCGCGAATTCCTACAGCGAATGTCATCATGATGCCTTTCTAAGTTCCGTGAGAGGAACGAGTGGGACTCATGGTCTACTGCATAGTACATTGGTTCGAGATGACCAGTGCCCAGTTGGGGGACACAGGGCAGGTGTAGTGTCAGAGATCTCAGCTTGGGCTGGGGTTCTACAGTATATTAACTAGGTGAAGCCAAGCACAGAGGAGTCCTGGTAGAGGAGACAGAGGCCTCCATCTGTCTTCTCGTCTTCTTACGGCAGTCACAATAACAGAGACTAGCCCGCCAGTTCTCTTAACCCTTCTCTGGCTCTTTTTAAACGCCTGGAGCACAGGTCCAGGCGAAGCCAAAACCTGCGCCCCTCATATTCCTTGCCCTGGAATAAGAGGTGTTTTCCTAGCCACAGGGAAATGCTTTACGTTTCCTGGGTGACCTCTTGGACTTTGCACATGCAGCCCGACACACCGTCCTCCTGCCAGGCCGGCCAGCAGTTTACACTTCCAACACAAACAGTGTCCTGGTCCCCAGTCTTATCTGACCCATTTTCTACTCATCTCCAGTTCTCTGTGCTTAATCTTTGCACAGTGCTGATTTGTTCATCAAATCGATGACTGTCTATCGTGACTGCTGCGTGTCACACACTATTTTTTTAAGCTGCTAAATACAAAAATTAAAATAGACACGAGACGGCTGAATAATACCCTATAACCATTTTAAGGTGTAGAGTAGCCAGTTTGTATAAACAAAACTTGAAATGTCAATGAAGTAGTCACAGGATGTGGTTAAGAACTTGCATTTTCTAACGTATTAGTCACTCAATACCATACCAGTTAACTCCATAATGTTGCAAATTATTGCTGATGCTATATTGTGAGTTTTCATTGGAGTGGGTGATATTCTGCCAGCTCTACTTTCAGACCAGGGGTGGTCTCCCAATGAAAGTGTTGAACTTATCTGAACAATAAGATGCTGGACTCTGTGCATGGTACATGCTCGCAATTAGGGAATCATGACTGGATATGAACTGTCCTACTGCACCAATGTGCAGGAATCCAACATGGGGGCAAGGGCATGGGGAGAGGTTGGAGAAATCCGAGAGCCTATGAAAAACTGTGTCACAAAATGAAATTTTAAAAAAATTAAAGTGATGAAACCACATGAACAAAAGCAAAAAAAAAAAAATTTATTGGGCCTGGTGCTGTGGCCTAGCAGCTAAAGTCCTTGCCTTGAACGCTCTAGGATCTGCTATGGGTGCAGAGCATCTCATATGGTGCCGTATGGGTGCCATTTCTAATCCCAGCTGCTCCACATCCCATCCAGCTCCCTGCTTGTGGCCTGGGAAAGCAGTAGAGGATGGCCCAAAGCCTTGGGACACTGCATCCACGTGGGAGACTTGGAGGAAGTTCCTGGTACCTGACTTGGGATTAGCTCAGCTCTGCCATGGTGACCCTTTAAGGAGTGAACCAGCAGATGGAAGATCTTTCTGTCTCTCATTCACTCTGTAATTTTGTGTTTCCAATAAAAATCAATACATCTTTTTTTTTAAGTGTATTGGTGTAAAAACAGACCCCTAGATAGAATCAAGACCTTAGAAATTAAACTCACACATCTATAACCAACTGATATTTGATCTATGTTCTATGAACATATGTTGGGAAAAAAAGACAGTCTTTTCAATAAATGGTGCTAAGAAAATTGGACATACATATACTAAAGAATGAAAGTAGGTCCAAACTACCATTATTATTTTTTTAATATTTATTTATTTTTATTACAAAGTCAGATATACAGAGAGGAGGAGAGACAGAGAGGAAGATCTTCTATCCAATGATTCACTCCCCAAGTGACCACAACGGCCAATGCTGTGCTGATCCAAAGCCAGGAGCTCTTCCGGGTCTCCCATGCAGGTGCAGTATCCCAAGGCTTTGGGCCGTCCTCGACTGCTTTCCCAGGCCACAAGCAGGGAGCTGGACAGGAACCAGGGCTGTCGGGATTAGAACCGGTGCCCATATGGGATCCCAGCGCGTTTAAGGTGAGGACTTTAGCCACAAGGCCACTGTGCCGGGCCCATGACACATTATTCTAACTGGATTTGTAGCAGTTCACAGAACAGCCCAAGGAGTCTGGGCTCCTGTATTGACCAAACTATGTTCTTGTTCCTGGGTGGGTTTTTTTCTACTCAACATGGGCATTTCTGGAAGACAGGAATAGGTAAGTATTTTCCTCTGGGTCTGAAGCTCTGGCATTTGGTTTACAGAAAACTGCACTTTGAGCAAGTTAGATCTCCCAACTACCTTGGCTCTAAGGAGTTGCAGGAGAAGTTACTGGATATAGCAGCTTTTATGACCCGTCAAATCAAGACCTTGGGGACTGTAAGTTTTGGCAGGCTCTTGAAGGGTAGGAAGGAGCTTCAGCTTGTCCCGGAGACTGGTAACTAGAACTGGAGGTTTCGGGTGACAGCAGTAGCCGCAGCATCAATAATTGACAGCAGGTCCAGCCGCCTTCTTTCTTGGGGTTCTCCCACCAAGGACTCCCCCTTCTGTCCTGTGCTGCAGTCCTCCCTAAGCAGGAGCCTTCAACTCTGGTGAGTAGGGCCCATTAGCTGAAGCCCACCATGTCGCTCCCCTACTCACACTCATTCATTCACCTTCTTTCATTTTCATTTTTAAGTCTCCACCACTCACCAAGGAGGCCTGTGAAAGGCTATGTCTAGGGGAAGGGAGCTGTAATCCAGAACATGAGGAAAGACAACCACTCTCCTTATGGGGCCTGGAGGAGGGGTTGGGGTTGAGACAAAGTGTACTGTCTGTGTCCAGGGGAGGGTGTTGGGAGGGTGTTGGGAGGGAGGCTGAAAGGACTTCTAAATGAGTAGGTGGGGGATAAAAGGGAAAGGATATGAAGACTGGAGAAAGTACACAATCAAATCTCCACCTTACCCCAGGGCAGGGCAGACAAGAATCCAGGGGTGGGTAAAGGGCCCCCACTCCCTGCAGTGCCCTAAGCCTGCTTGAATGTTTGCCTGAAGCAGCTGACAGGAGTGTCTGACTATAAAGCTTTGCTCTGGAATTGTACAGTCAGGGCAGAGGCCAAGCCTACCGCAAACAGGGAGGATAGCCCAGAGAGAGGCTGGCAAGAGATGCTGAAGAGGTGCCTCCAGGGATGAGGGAAGATGGGTGGAGGAACACCCTGGAGATGGGATCCTGAGTCAGGACTGGGAAGAGGTGGTTTGGGGTTTAGTGCTGACCCGGAGGAGGATGGAGCAAGGGCCTGGCACTGTACTAACTGGGATTCAGATTCTAGTTCTGCCATGGAACTCCGGACAGAAAACGGAGCCTTTCAAAGCCTCTGACGGTCGGTTTGTCTGTTTGTAAGGAACAGTAACTGCTACTGGTCTGGGCTGCAACTGATGGCAGGCGGACAGTTGAGTGTTTTCCTCCCTGGGTCCCTCCTTCCAGGGCTCAGGAGGGACTATGTCTCCTGCCATTGCTCTGGCGTTCCTGCCATTGGTAGTGACGCTGTTGGTAAGGTACCGACACTACTTCCGCCTGCTGGTGCGCGCAGTCCTGCTGCGGAGCCTCCGAGACTGCCTGTCGGGGCTGCGGATTGAGGAGCGGGCCTTCAGCTATGTGCTCACCCATGCCTTGCCTGGGGACCCCAGTCACATCCTGGCTACTCTGGATCACTGGAGCAGCAGCTGCGAGTACCTGGGCCACATGGGGCCCGGCAAAGGTTAGTGTTTCCTAGCCTTCTGCTCTGGAGGTACCTCCCACACTTCCCCAAGGAGGTGAAGGAAGATCCGGGCTCTAGTGCTGCCTTATTCCATGAACTGGGCAGGATGCTGGTGTCTTTTGGTGTTCTTTCTTCTAACCTGGAAACGAGGGTCCTGGACTAAGTCATCCAACTTTCTAGCCAACACTGATTGCCATGACTTTTGTACCAGGTATGGGCAAGATGCTGAGTAGGGGAGGAGGGAGAGGCCACAGGGATGACCGAGCCACAAATGCTGGCCGTAAAGGGGGACATAACCAGAGCAGGGACTAAACCTCTCAACCCTCTCAACACTGACAGCTCTGTGATGGTCTGTCTGTGAGTCTGTCTTTTACCACAGAGTTGTCCACATCCTAGAGTAGCTGTCTGCCTGGGTTTATCTCAGTATTCCCTGCCAGCACAAGTGCCTTTAGAGTTCCAAAGTGCTGGGGCCAGGACAAAGGCTCACCTGGGTAGTCCTCTACCTGCAAGTACCAGGATCCCATATGGGTGCCAGTTGGTGTCCTGCTCCACTTCCAATCCAGGTGCATTCTAGGTTTCTCTTGTACCCATGTGGGAAACCCAAAGGAAGCTCCGGGCTCCTGGCTTCAGCCTTTGCAGCCATGTAGGGAGTGAACCAGCAGATGGAAGATCTTTCTATCTCATCTTCTCTGTAAATGTGCCTTTCCAGTAAAAATGAAAACATGTTAAAAAAAAAAAAAAGATATTCATAGTTCTAAAAGAAACCTCCTGGGAACTCACAGGATGGGGTGGTGGTTTCTGCACTACCCTCCTAAGCCTAAGCCTGGAGGGAATGCTTGTGATGTGGCTGGGCAGGTGGGGAAGGGAGTGGGGGTAGGGAAAGGCATAGCCAGATTTACAAACATAACATGGCTGGTTCTGGGCTCAGCTGTGTGGGATGGTAGAAAGACGGGCTACATGTGGCAAGTGCTGAGAGCTGAAGCTGAAGTGCAAGGATCCCAAGTTCAATCCCAGAGGATGTTCAGAATCGCCAGAGCCAGGGTGTGATAGTGCCATATTAGTTAGGAAGATTCAAGTTAGACTGGTGGTAGCAGGGAAACCCATGGGCAACTAGGTCTGTGGTCTGAGAAAGATGAATCCCTGGCTGGTGGTGGGCTGTAGTGAGGCAGGTGGGCACAGGGGTCTCCTTCTGTCAGGAGCCTTTGGCAATGGTCATCTGTCCCTATAGGTCAGATCCTGATGCGGCTGGTGGAGGAGAAGGCCCCTGCTTGTGTGCTGGAGCTGGGCACCTACTGTGGCTACTCCACGCTGCTTATTGCCCGTGCCCTGCCCCCTGGAGGTCGCCTTCTCACTGTGGAGCGGGACTCACGCACGGCAGCAGTGGCTGAAAAACTCATCCGCCTGGCTGGCTTTGATGAGCGCACGGTCAGCCTCCCTGACTTCCCACCCCTGGTCTGTTTGCCACACAGGCCTTGCCCTAGCCAGACCTCCCTGGGGAGGGGCTCTGAGCCCATCTGAGAAGAAGGCAGCCCCACTTGGGTGACCCTGGTCCTAAGGAGGACATAGCAGCAACTGCCCTCCTGTCCCTAGTCATTTGCCTGTGCTTCCTGCTAGACAACAAAAGTGGAAGCTAAGAGGAAGGTCTGTGTAGCCTGGCAAATCCAGGTCCAGACTATAGCTTGCCTCTTGTTATCTCTGTAGACTGGGACAAAGCAGCTCAGCCATGTCATGTGCACAACGGAAATCACAATCCCGACTTGTTGGGTTCAGAGGGCACAGGAAATGTGAGAACACATGTGGGGATGCAGGCAGGGCCTGGCATGAATTAAGCTACATCCTGGTGAGGTATGCAGTAACGAAGAGTCCCACCCACCCTCACACCCACTCCCCACCCCTGCAGGTGGAACTCATTGTGGGCAGTTCCGAGGAGGTGATCCCGCGTCTACGAGGCCAGCATCAGCTGAACCGGGCAGACCTGGTACTCCTGGCACACAGGCCCCGGTGTTACCTGCGGGACTTGCAGCTGCTCGAGGCCCATGCCTTGCTGTCGGCTAGTGCCACTGTGCTGGCCGACCATGTGCTCTTCCCTGGTGCACCCCGCTTCCTGCAGTATGCCAAGAGCTGTGGCCGCTACCGCTGCCGCCTCCACCACACTGGCCTCCCAGACTTCCCAGCCATCAAGGACGGCATAGCCCAGCTCACCTACAGTGGACCTGGCTGAGGCCCAAGACCAGCGGTTTTCAATGATGTTCCCCTACCCACCCACCCCAAACCCTCACAATATCCCCTCCTTTCCCTGTCTGTGGCCTGACACACACTGGGATCGGGAGGGAACGCTTTACCACTGGTCATCCTTCCACAGACAGCCCTGGAGCAGCAAGAGGCCAAGTTCCAACTCAGCTGGCATTGGTTTGCTGGTTAACTCTGTCTTGTGCTGAGATGTAATCTGTTCTCTGCACCCTAAGGAAGTTGGCTGGAAGAACTCCAGGGGTCTCCCAGCTCTGAGCCTCCGGAAGCCTCCCCATCTCCTGCCCATGCTGTCCTGGGAGGACCAGAGGATACTGCAGGCAATGGGCCAGAGAGCCTAGACAAATGGCTCGATGCAAACTGGGCCCAAGATGGACCAGGAGCCTGGGCCCAGGGCCAGGGATGGCCTTCTTCAACCCTGGCCCACCTGACCCATTCATTTTTTTTTCCTGCTATTCTTTGGGTGCCCTCTTCCCAAAAGCCCCAGAGAAGATCCTGGACTTCACTGGACCCCATGAACAAACAGAGAATACACATGGGGGGAAAACTCAGTCCTGTGTCTTTATTGAAGAGGGTTGGATGGAACTCAGACCTGGTAGCCAAAGGGTAAAGTACTGGCCAAGAAGGCAGGGCTGGCTCAGGCCCTGGGAGTTCAAGAGCAGATGCATGCCGGGAGAGGCCAAGGATCCAGGTCCTGGAAGCAGCTGAGTGGGGCTCCCAGGCTGAGCCTTCCGACCACGGGCCCGACAGCTGGGTCTGCAGGCTGTGGGCTTGGGGATAGGGCAGAGGGGGTGCAAGGTACGTTGGGTTGGCCTGGAATCGCCCTGAGGCCACCCTGCCTCGTCTACCTAGATCATCCACTGGTCCTGATCCTGTTCGTTGCCTTCCATGTCCACCTGGAGAGGAGTCTGGGTGTGGGTGGGGAGGAGCCTCAGCCAGCCTCAGCCCCAGACCATGCCCCTGGCTGCATCCAGGGTTTCTGTACCCACCGGCCATCACTGAGGTCCGAGGGAGGGGCCCAGGGACAGAGGCCCTCCCCAACAAGCCTGCCTACCTCGTTGACCTCGCCATCATCAGGTGACTCATTGTAGTCATTCATCTCGTCCATGTCCTGCATGTCCTCGTCATCCTCGGAGTCCTCTTCACTGTCCTCATCATCTTCATCATCTTCTTCTTCCTCGTCATCATAGTGCTGGTGGGGCAAGGGAGAGCCTGTGGGCCCTACAGGCCAGCATGGCCCAGTGCCACGGCCGGCCCACTGGAAGCCTCTCCCTGGGCCCATGCCTGACCCTCCTCCCCGCCGTCAGTGTGCCCCTTAGGCTGCTGCCTGTTTGCAGAACAAAAGTGCTCAGTGCCCAGCCCCCTTTTGCTTCCTTTTCTGGCAGGACATAGAGCTGAAAATCACAACCGCTCTGGGTCAGAGGCAGGCCATTCTGAATTAGAACAGAGCCTTGGTCCACCCGAGGCCCACACAGGCTCTGCCTGCTGGGGCTACTCACCTCGGAGGCTGGCTTGCCGATAGGAACCAGATTGTTGTCTTTCTCAGCGATGCTTTGGAGCTGTGGGCCGAAGGGGGTGGAGAAGGGTCGGGGCGCAGGCAGGGCAGGTCAGAGGCATGGCACTGACCTCTGCCCTACAGAAGCCGCTCAGGTGCAGGAGAGAAGCTCCCCCCATCCCAGTCAGAGAAGTTTCCATCCCTTTCTCTCCTGTCAGCTGCCCTTTTTCAAGTGGCGGAGCCAATAACTTCAACTCTTTGGGTCTTGGTTTCCTCAGAGTAACAGTGATGGTGAATCGACTTAGCCTAAACATTCCTTCTGCTGGGTCCTCAATAATTAGTCACTTTCATTGTTTGCTACCTTTTAGGGGAAGAATTCCCCTAAAGAAGGATTCCGTTCCAGGAACCTGGCCCCAGAAGTCCCATGGGTCCTCCCAACAAATTAGCATACCGCAGAAACGAGCACCCTGCCCCCGTCCCGGCTCCCAGCCCAGGGCTGGGGTCCTGCGTAAGCTGGTGGCCGGCTGAGGGGCTGGCAAGGCCGGTGGGGCCAGGTCCTCACTCACCCAGGCCTGGTGCTGCTGTTCCTGCTGCTGCAGCTCTGTCTCCTCCACACAGGGTCGGTCCAGATTAAACCACAGGGTCTCAGTCACACGGGGAAAGAGGTTGGGGAATAAAGTGGACATGGCTCCTAGACTGAGGGGAAACGCCAGGTGTACGTCATTTATGTTGGGGTGATTTTCACGCAGGAGCAATCTGCATTACGGGCAGGGTGGAGTGGAAAGAAGCGGCGAGGAAGGGCTCGGCTTTGCTCAGGGCATGAGACAGACCTGGGTTTCGGTCCTGGCTCCATCACGTACTAGCTGTGACCTTGGCCCAGTCACTTAACCTCGCTGGGTCTCGGTTTCCTCATCTGGAAAATGAGGATAATGGCCATTTTTACCACCCTCAAGGTAGGACTGTAGCAAGCACAGCCAGCTGTGGGCTATTGAAGGCGGGAGAATAATGCGCACCAAACGTATTAACAGGAATCCAGAAGGTGCTGGAATCACAAAATCAGCAAATGACTGAAAAAGTCACCACTTCTGAACATTCAAACCTACTCTTTGTTTTTTTTTGCCTCTTTATAATGGTCTGTGCCACACCCACCCAACCTTGAGAAATTTAGGATGTGAACTATTTGCGTCATAGGACCCCAGGCCAAACTTGCTTGCGGTGAGAACAAGGCTGGGTTAGGGCAAGCAGGGTTCAGTAAGACATTCCAGAAGGCCCAGGGTCCATGAATCAGCAAACAGACAGGAGACTGGACAGCTGACCATGCAAGAGAAAAAGTAAACTCCACTCTGAGGAAGTTAACTCCTGAAGTTAACGGGGGGTGGCCGCAGACACTCTGCACTAAAACCTCTCTGCTCACAGACTTTCAGAACCTTCACCGAGACCCAGGGACGGGCACAGACAAGCTTTAGGTCACACAGAGTCAGGGCTTGGGGCGCGCGCGGCGGGGAGGGCGCCGGGGCCGGGCACTGGAGGCGCGGGACGCGGGGTAAAGGACTCGTGGGCAGCTCCCTGCTCTTGGACAGCCGCCTCCTTGGCCTCGGCTTCCCCAGCCCGGGTGACAGGGACTCAGGTTCCCACCCGTCAACTGACAGGACTTGTCGGCCCCGCAAGAACAACCCATCGTGACCACGCCCCGCCCCTTCTCGTACCCCGATAACGAGCGTGAAGCTGGCCAATAGGAGGCAGGCGGGGGCGGGTCTCTCAAACGGCAGTTTGGCCTTCTAGGGTTACTTAACGGCGGAAAAGCGCGGGGCTGGGGAGAGCCAATCAGCTGACAGAAAGGTTTGGGTGACAGGCCGTGCTATCAATGAACAACGGACTTGGAGTGAGGGGGTGGGGCTTGGTCTCGAGGAAGCGGCCAATGAACTGGAGCTCTCTAAGGCGACAGGAGCTTGAACATGGAGCCCTGGAATTGGACGGTTAAGGAACTGAATGTCCCGAGGGGTGTGCGGCGGGGTGTGGAGGAGAAGGAAAGACAAGGGACGAGGAGACGGCCACAGCCTGGCTTCTGTACTTACCGCGCCGGGGAGCGGCAGCCGGCGGCGACCCGGAAGCGCTTCACCTCGCCTCAGCGGAAGGACCCACCAGAAGCCGGGCCGAATCGCACGCATGCGGCTTTCCTCTCCTTTTGTTTCCTCCCTCCCGCCCGTCAGGCCGGATGTGACGTAGGACACACCTTGGAAACGTCTAGTGGGAGCGGGATGTTCTCCCCACCCAGCTCGGGTGCAGGTGGGCTGGTTACCTGCGGTTCCTCCACCCCAGCCCCGGGCAGCACTGGCTGGCGGAGCCCTCCTGCACAGCTAACAGTCACCTGTGTTAGTGCGAAGCTTCCTCGGCGTGCGGCTTCCATTTCAGAATCGCCCCTCTTGGTCGTGCTCTCTCAACCTAGGTTTTCCTGCTTGAGCAAGTTCATTTTTTCGTGTGTTTGTCTTAGACATGCATGTTCTCGGTGTTCCGGGCTCTGCTAGAAGCTGCAGAAGAATCTGAAAGCAGCCGCTTACCCCAATGTCCTCACAGTCCAATGGGAGAAACCAAGACTGTAGATCTGCGAGTGGACCCCAGGCTCTTAGGTCCCCTGCGCCTCTCAGACCCTGGAGGTGCTGTGGCTGGCCTGAGTGATGAGTCAGCCTCGGGCACCGCGTTCTGCTACGAAGCTGCCCTCGGGCCTGGGTCGGATTCCCTTCAGCTTAATCAACTCGCCCACTCATGGGCAGATGCTGGTGTTCACCTGTGACTCAGCCTCCCTAGGTCATCCTCATGTCTTGCAATAGAGATCCTTCCACACCAGCTCTGGCAGAGCTGTCTTTAGTACCAGTCTCTTTCAGAGTCTTTTCAGAGTCTGCTGTCCACCGCAGTTTCGCCGCTGACCAGCCAGTGTGTGAACCACAATAAGCCTTTTTCCACTGGGTAGACTTCAATTTTTTCTCTTCCCAGCCTGGGTATTTCCTTGGTCCTGTAGTTCACCTGGGGTTTCAAGGTGTTACCCATGCTCTACTGCCCTCACAGACCAACAGCAGGGAGCTGGATGGAAAGTAGAGCAGCTGGGGCTACGAACCTGCTTCCATATAGGGTCCCAGGGTTTGCAAGACAAGGATTTAGCCACTGGTCTATCACACTGGGCCCAATAAAGTAGTTTAGGATTTTGGTGAATGCTGAGGAAAGAAAAGAATTTTAAACAAGAAAAGTGGGAATGAGACATTGGCGGAGGAGGAAGTCACTGGCAGGATGTCACATGAGTACAGCTCTGAAGGAAGAGAGAGAACCTTTTAATACTGCAGGGGAAGCGCCTAGATAGCTGGAGCGGTGTCCGGTAGAACAGTGGAAGAGGATGGGAGAGAGGTGACATTTCCCTGCAGAGCATAGTAAAGACTTGAGCCTCCTTCTGTGCTGGAAAGCTGTTGAAAGGCTGTGAGCAGAAGATGTGATCAATCTGATGATACACAACAGTTACTGGCTGTTCTGTGAAGAATGGATTCCAGGGCACAATGGGAGAGGTAGTGGGACCAGTTGGATGACTCTTTAAGTAATCCAGAGGTATAGATGAGTAATTGAACTTTGAAAGTATTTAGAATGTAGAAACAACAAGGCTTGGGGCCCGGCGGCATGGCCTAGCGGCTAAAGTCCTCGCCTTGAATGTGCCGGGATCCCATATGGGTGCTGGTTCTAATCCCAGCAGCTCCACTTCCCATCCAGCTCCCTGCCTGTGGCCTGGGAAAGCAGTAGAGGATGGTCCAAAGCTTTGGGACCCTGTGCCCGTGTGGGAGACCCCGGAGGAAGCTCCTGGCTCCTGGCTTCGGATTGGCTCAGCTCCAGCCATTGTGGTCACTTGGAGAGTGAACCATCAGATGTAAGATCTTCCTCTCTGTCTCTTCTCCTCTCTGTATATCTGCCTTTCCAATAAAAATAAATAAATTTTTTTCCCAATTTATTACATTGCATTAGTGATACAGCTTTTTAGGTACTGGAATTCTCCCCATCTCCTCCCCCAATCCTCCCCCCCATAGTGGATTCCTCTACCTTGTTGTGTATCCACAGTTCAAGTTCAGTTGAGATTCCTTCACTGTGAGCATATCCCTAGCATACAGTCCGGCATCTCATCGTCCAGATAAGTTAAAAATTTTTGAACACAAGCAAACAAACAAACAAAAAAACAGGGCTTGCTCACAGGTCTACAGGAGAGGATGAGGGGACTTAGCCACGATTTCTGATCTGCATACTTGGAAGATTGGTGTGACCGTTTGCTGAGGGGGAAAAGGTAGGGGAGATGGTTTTTGGTGGTGCTATCTGATGGCTTGTTTGTGGGTGTATTGAGTCTGAAATGCCTCTTAGAATGGGGGGTTGGGGAGGGTAGGGACACTGACCGGCATAGTAGCCCAGTAACTAAAGTCCTCACCTAGCAAACACTGGGATCTCATATGGATGTTGGTTCATATCCGGGCTGCTCCACTTCCCATCCAGCTCCCTGCTTGTGGCCTGGAAAAGTGGTGGAGGAAGGCCCAAAGCCTTGAGACCCTGCACCCATGTGGGAGACCCAGAAGAGACTCCTGGCTCCTCGCTTCGGATCAGCTCAGCTCTGGCTGTTGCAGCAACTTTAAGAGTGAATCAGCAGATGGAAGATATTTGTTTCTCCTTCTCTGTAAGTCTTTCAAAAAAGAACAAATAAAAAGGAATATTCAGTACATTTTAAAAAGTAGAATAGAGTAGAGTAGAGGGAGCAGGCAGGCATATAATTCTGAGAACAGGGGAGCATTTTGGCTCAATGTATCATTTGAGACTCATCAGCACATAAATGATGTTTAAAATCATGAGACTGGGGGCCTGGCGTGATAGCCTAGGGGCTAAAGTCCTCGCCTTGCATGTGCCCAGATCCCACATGGGTGTAGTTCTAACCCCTGCGGCCCCACTTCCCATCCAGCTCCCTGTTTGTGGCCAGGGAAAGCAGTTGAGGACGGCCCAAAGCCTTGGGACCCTGCACCCACGTGGGAGACCAGGAAAAAGCTCCAGGCTGCAGGCTCCTGGCTTTGGATTGGCGCAGCTTTGGCCAATGCAGCCGCTTGGGGAGTGAATCATCAGACGGAAGGTCTTCCTCTTTGTCTCTCCTCCTTTCTGTATATCTGCCTTTCCAATAAAAATAATTAAATCTTTAAAAAAAAAATCACGAGACTGGATGAGATCACTAAGGAAATGAGTATGGAAGGACAATTGTTTTCTCTAGTATTAAAGAGTTTGAGGAAACTGGAAGCAGCAAGCTAGATAGAGAAAGAAGGCTAAAAAAGGGTAAGTGGAAGGCCAAGTAAGGAGATGATGTCTGGAGGGATAAAGTGATACAGCACAGCCTGCCTCTGCCCAAACTGTGTTTCTGTTTGTGTTCCCAGCGGTTGTGTGCAGACTGAGGGCAGACTGAATGCCTGCTGTGTCCCATCACCTCTGATCTCCCCGTTGTTAATCTTGCCTCCATCAGCCTCCTGTGCTTCTGGCAAGAATCTCTACCTCAGACACTTTTTGCCTCCCTTCCTTCCTGACATCTTTGGCCTGTGGAAACTTCCTGAATACCTTAGAATTTCTAAGTTTCGCAGCCAGATCTAGCAAGCCATGATTACTGCTTATCTCATGACTTTTGTTACTTGCCTGCAGAATGCCAGGCACCTTGATAGGTCCTGGAACAGATGGGTGTAGAGAAACTGACCCTGCTCCAGAGCGAAATGCTGTCTAGTGAGGACTGAGACAGTTGCAGAAGAGGGTGGTGTTAGAATGCAGGCATGTAGAAAACGTTTTGAAAACACAGAGGAGGGAGAGCTGAATGGGTTGTGGACAAATTAAATTTACCCTTTTGTTCCAGATAAGGAAACATTTGAGTGGGCCTTGAGAGATGATGAGTAGGAGTTAAGCTTACCAGTAGACAAGTGGGAGAAAGGAATGCAAAGAGATGTATTACAGTCAAGGGCATGGAGCTGCAAGCAGATTATCCATTTAGAAAACAGTAAGAGTCGACTTGGATGGGTAAGTGTTGGGATGGAAGAGTGGCCACACAGACTATTAAAGGGCAAGGGCCTTTGTGGCACTGGCGGGTAGTAGATGGGGTGGGAGTCAGACGTCCTGGGTATTGCCGTGGTCCTGTGGCTGCTCACCTGCTAGCAACGCCAGGTGGAGACTTCCCATCCCCAGTCTTCCAATTCCTCTGAAATTGCGTTTATTTTATTATTTTTTTTTATCGGAAATGCTTATTTACAATGAGAAAGAGAGACGGAGATCTTCCACCTGCTGGTTTATTCCCCAAGTAGCTGCAACGGCTGGAGCTGAGCTGATCTGAATCTTCCACATGAGTGCAGGGTCCCAAGGCTTTGGGCCATCCTCGACTGCTTTCCTAGTCCACAAGCAGGGGGCTGGAAGTGAAGTGGAGCAGCCAGGATTAGAACTGGCATTCATGTGGGATTCTGATGTGTGCAAGGAGAGGATTTTAGCCACTAGGCCACCGTGCCGGACCCTGTGCAGGATTTTTTTTTTTTTTTTACTTGTTCCTCTTG